TGGAGGCATCATAGTTAAATCTGAGCAGTTTTAGAAGAAGAAAGTTCCCTTGAACGTCATTTATCAGTGTGTAACCCTTCCTTACACTGATGAACATGGATTGCCCCATTAAGTTCACCAAGGCTACTAGTGTGAGAAAGCACTCACCACGTAGGATGAGGGCTGTTACAATCTTACAGTCACGCTGCCTGGTATAGGCCATAGTTAAGAGCACCAATCTCAGGTCAGACTGCCAAAATACAGGGCATATACCCCAAACTGCTGGTAGATCTATCTTAAGCCAGTAACAAAAGTGAGCTTGTGTAGCACTGCGCTAGTTCATAGAGCGCCACACAACAGTCCCCTGGGTACTCCAGCCCCGGTTACCACCCAGACAACTGGACTACATGATGAAAAGTTATTAAAACCAAAATTCACCACACAGTAGGTTCTTCCAATCCCAAAGGATCAGACACTAACCCCAGGTCAACATGTACTTTCAGGATCTCACCAGATACCACGTTGCAGCCAATCTTTAGTAAACTAACTAAAGATGTACAGTATTTAAAAAGAAGAGTTATTAAATGCTTAAAGGAATCATATACATTACAATTGATTTCAGAATCTGTAGGTCAGGGTAATATCAGTGACCGTAATTCTGCTGGCTTGCAATAAGTCTCTCTGGGTCACCCAAAAAGACTGGGGGGGTGGTCATCAGTCCTTTCTTCAAAGCTTCCTTCTTGTTAGAAAATCAGTCTGGAGAACTGGAGCAGGAATAAAGACGAGATGATGTTGCAGTCTGCAATTTATACCTCTTAGCCTAGGTGCATGGAAAGTTACTGGCATAAACATGGAGTCTTGGTCACATGTGCCTTGCTGAGTCATGCACTGTTCACTGACTACATGCTCCCTGTGGAGTCTTCAGCAGAGGTCCACTGGAAGAATTGATTCTCCTTAATGGGCCATCAACAAACACACAGCTGGCCAGTTTAGATGTAAATCTGCCTTGTGGGTGTTACCTAAAAACACCACAAGATTGAGATACAAACACATAGCATATATTCTGAACTTCAGATACAATGATACGTGGCTTTAAACATGATAATACAGTGGTGATATATTAGTGTAAACATGGTCACCGTTTTTTATGTAGCATCAGACTTACATTTTCATTACAAAATAATTCTATTGACTGTTCTTCCCTTCAATCCTGATATCTGCCCCCCCACCTTTACTGGCCTCCCTTTTCACACATCTTGTCACTAAGGCACTCACCTGAATTTCTATACTATTTCAAGCTTTCCTGGAGCACGCTCCCTCTGCGTTTTTGCAACGGCTTGTTCTAGCAGCATATACTCTCCACGTCTGTTCTACAGCCTGTAATGCCTTTGGCATTTGTTTTGAAATACCCTCCAGCCCTAGTGTCAGGATACAGACACTGGCTGACTTTGTTGTTCTTGACCTCTTTTGGATGCACAAGAAAATGAAATTGCTTCCTCTGAAGTACAGCAAGCTGTTCTCACCTATGACATCCTCCCGTAACATGCGAAGCCCCAGCCACAGTTTGCCCAGCTTGGGAAGGTGTAGAGGGCAGTGTCAATTGAGCCCTGTTGAGGGTTAATTATTGTTTTGCTAACCGTGTATTCAGCTACCCTTATGTGTACAAAATTTAAGACTTATCTGCATAATTATCGTGTTTATTGCTGCACACAGCTGGATGGATATGAGGAGTGTGCAGTTTTTGAGACCTGCTGTAAGTCAGAACAACTATAAGGGAGAATGATGGTCTTTTACAGCCCATGCAAAGCAATCGGCTGTCGTAGGAGAGCTGTCAGAGTTTGAAAAACAAAAATCCCAGAACTAGATTTACTGCCGATATTTACATATTTCTGGGACTACATCGTTTTTGCTCCCATATGGAAACAACTCTTAGAATATAATACAGATACGCAGTCAAGATTTTCAAAGGTAGTCAGGTTCTTTCTTGGATGCCTTAAAGGAGACCGATTTTCAGAGGGGTGGGGAGCTCAGCATTTTGTGAACGTCCAGGGATTTTAAGTAGAACTGGTCGGGAAGTTTTCAACACAATGTTTTTTCTTTGGAAAACATCAGTTCATCAAAACCAAAACTTTTTTCCCCACAAATGTTTCCGTTTTGACAAAACTTCCACCAGGAAAGATTTCTCCGGTTTCAGGGTACAATTGAGAGGGAGTGTAATTGATTGACTTGAATCTGGATCTCCCACATGCCAGGTGAGTGCCCTAAGTTCTGGGCTACTGCTTGCCCTAGGGTTAGAGTCTCTCTCTTTGGCTCTTGCAAAAGATTTTGCAAGGTCTTGGTTTTGTCCTGATGCAAAACGAGTAATTTTTTTGAAATGACAGATTTTCACAGGATGGGAAAGCCATTTTCCACCCCGCTCTACCTCCTAAGGTGTCACACATTGGCATCTAAAATCACTAAGCCCAGTGAAAACCTTAGCCATTCCCAGTAGGGTTCTAGAACTATTCAATAGGACCCTGCTTGTATGAATAGGAGTATACCAGTGTGAAGGTTCTGCAGTCTAGTCTGTAGTATTTGGGCTATAGTTTTTAGCAATGTATAAATCCTTTAAAAATTGACTATAGTACGCACCTGTGGGATGACCACTGACATCTGCGGTCCGTTACAGTGGGGTGTCTCTGCAGTAGCATCGGAAGCCAGTGGGATACCCCAGCTCCACATCAGGGCCAGTGAGGGCAGGAGAGGGCTCCTGTTGTGTCTCGTACTTGCTAACAACGCCACGCTTTCACAGAAATAAGGGGTGTCTTGGAAAATTTAAATTCTTGGCATCTGTGCTGCTTAAACTGAGCATGTTAATAGTGTCAGAAAGTACTGGCCCCTGGGTTATGGAATGAGAATAGGGAAGAATTAGGGAATGTAATGTTTCAGTTATTAGTGCCTAAGTTATCGAGAGCAGAACTTCTTCATTTAAATTCCTGATTATACAATGTTGGGAGTAGTCATCAGCCACTCTGATGTTATTAGCAGGAGAGGTAATGTATAATTACTTCTCTCTTCCATAGTCAGTAGTGTTCATTGATTACTTATGTGAATGAACCTCTTCACCATTGGTAGCATCAGTGTGAATCATAAACACTGCAGAGGGGCAGGTCTGATGCAAGGCAAACACGCCAACTGATGGCAGGTTTTAAAGGGGGGCATCCAGATACCTATTGGCTGCCACTCAGCTAGTATAAAATGGGAGGCATCCTTGTGTCCTGAAGGCCACTACCCTAAGGGTACATCTACACTACAGGGGGGAGTCGATTTAAGATACGCAAATTCAGCTACGTGAATAGCGTAGCTGAATTTGACGTATCGCAGCCGACTTACCCCGCTGTGAGGACGGCGGCAAAATTGACCTCCGCGGCTTCCCGTCGACGGCGCTTACTCCCACCTCCACTGGTGGAGTAAGAGCGTCGATTCGGGGATTGATTGTCGCGTCCCCACAGGACGCGATAAATCGATCCCTGAGAGGTCGATTTCTACCCGCCGATTCAGGCGTGACATTTATGCACTTTAAAAGCTATCCTGTGTGGGCCCAATCCTGCAGCCATTATGCACGTATAACTCCCTTTCCTAATAATGGCAGCTTTTGGGCAACAACTGCTGAGTTGGGTCACCATGTGTCTGTACCAGATACAGAAGCTTGGAAATGAAGTGGAATATGTGGTGTACTATTTGCATTTCAGTACCCAGAATGCTTTTCCAGCTCAAAGATATTTCATTGGGGAGCAGGTGTTTGAACTCTGTTATTCCCATTTTGCAGATCTGCAAACCGAGGCAGAAATGATCAATGACTTGCCCAAGGTCACAGAAGGTCAGTATCAAGATAAGAAGTTGGAAGCAGGACTGCTAGCTGGAGACTTTGCAGACTGATAAACACAAGCCTTTGAAGCAAAGTGAAAGGTAGGGGTGTGTGCTTGTGATGGTGGTCTGGGCCAACACCTGCTCCCACTTATCCTGGTGTAAATCTGGAGTAACTCCATTGGTTTGAACGATATAATGGAGAGCAGGATTGGGCCCACTGAGTTTGTATCCTTTGCAAAAAAGACAAAACAGAAGCTTACAGTAAAATCTTATTAGCTCCATAACAGTTCAGATGCAAAACCTTTCTGAGTTCAGGGTCATACAGTATTCTCAAAGGCTGTCATTCAGACCTTTTTCAAAACGAATCTGTCTAATCCACTCTATCTAATTTACATAATCCAACTAGCTACTTCCCCAATGTTGTTTGAGCATCACGTGCTCAGACCCTTGTTATGTGAGTCTCATTGTAGAAGGTTCGTGCCGGGGCTCGACCCTCCTTGGCAGGAGGGGAGCCACACCGACTCACTACTGGTGGAACAAACAAACAGTTAGGTTAGGGGCTCAGGCCCTTTGGTGCAGGGGCTGAGCAACCATATAACAATATAGTGATTAGGATAGGCCCAGGACCCTATGCCTGAGTGTTGGGTGAGGGGGAATCCTGCCACCCGTAAGCAGGGTGGCGGGGGGGACGCAGGCCCACCCACTCCACTGCATCCCAGCCCGGGGCCCTAGCAGCGGTTACTGCCGCTGCTGGTCAGTGGAGTGTCCTGACCGAGACAAACTGACATTGGCTCGTACGGGTCTGCAGCCTGACCGGGGTCGGCTACCCCCGGGCTACTTCCAAGTTCCCCCTCAGGGCCTACCTCGTCCGTGGCACCGGGCCCAGTCCAGTCCATCAGCATGGGTTCCTCCCGGCCGGGGCTTGGTGGCAGGTCCGGCAGCTCCTCGGGGAAGTCCGGTGTGGACTCAGGCGTCTCCTCCGGGTAACAGCAGGGGCGGAGGGGCTCTGGGGGCGTCTCCCCTTCTGGGTTGGTGTGGGGGAGTTCCAACGGCTCCTCCCAATGACGGGAGCGGACGGGCTCTGGTGGTTCCTCCTCGTAGTGGGCTCGGGGCAGCTCCGGCCAGTTAGGGCCACAGCCTTGGGCCTCAGAGGTCTCCCGCCGCGAGCTTCCCGCCGCACGTCTGCTCTCTGCGGTGGCTGGGGCCTCACTGAGCTCTGGCGGCCGGCTTTTATACTTCCTGTCCCGCCCCTTGACTTCCAGGGGCGGGAACAGGCGGTGGAGGCTCCGCCCACTTAGGTGTCTGTAAGGGCACTCCCTCTGCTGGGCAGGAGGGGAGCCACACCGACTCACTACACTCATCTTAAAATGTTCTAGTGCCTCAGGAAAGGGAGCAGGCAGGTAGATTTTCCATCTTCCTACCACAGAGCAGCCAGCGTACCTGAACTAGCTACACTTTGCATAAGTGGCTTAGCTGAATGCTTGCTGGAAGAGCTGAGACGCTGGCTCTCTTAATGCATCTATTGTAATGGACTGAAAATCAATGTATTGATCTCTCTGGTACAGCCTATGTTGTCTAACACAATGGCTCCATCTTCTATATTTATCTAGGGCCAGATTCTGCCACAATTATTCGTGTTGGGTGAAATTCACTCTTCTGCAGAGGGCCAGCATGAAGTCCCTCCGCTGCTTAAGACCTCAAGATAGGAATGAAGTAGGATTTAAGCCATGTGCTAGGCTTCCGCAGAGTGACGATTTTCACCCTTTGAGTGATACTTTGCTCCTAACGCAGTCCCGGTGAAATGAATGGAATTGCTTAGTGAACGAGGTGCTACTTGCCATGAGCAAGGGTGGCAGACTCTGTCCCTTAGTTTGCTTTACTTAGTCGCTCGGTGCATTGATTGCTGCAGGCTGTGATAGCCAACGGCAAGAAAACAGTGACAACTTTTAGGCCATATCCTGGAAAGTCCTCCTTCTAAGGTACTGCTGTTGAGATCGGCTGGAGTTCTACATGTGACGTTCTTGCAGGATCAAACCCTTTGTTTGTAAAGCACTCCTGTTTTATTTGACACTTTGGTAGTGGGAGAGGAGGTAGACTTTTCTGTGCCAGGGAATGGACTTGGGTGAAAGTAGGGAAAATATGGCTAGGTTGGGCAGAGAAAAGACGTATGGGAGATGGTCTGTGGAGGCTCTACAGGTTTCAGATGAAGAATTCAGACTCCTGGTAGTTATCCAAAATAAACTTCTGAAACTCTTAAGCCTACTCTTTGCTAGCAGTATCCATTAATGTTCTCATCCTTTGTTCCTTTTCAAATCCTGTACTCAGCTGCCTTTGACATGTTGCAGCACCATGCGGTATTATGTCATGTCATGTTCTGTCTCACCACTTTCCAGTAACATGACCTAACACAAGGGAGAGAACATGCTTAAAATAGCTGAGACTCTGCAGGCTACCACCTGTATTCAAGTCAAACAGCTGAAAAAAACGCTAAGGAAAAATGTATTGTGTTCTGCTGCATTCTTATTAAGTTCACAATGGGATGCAAGATTTAGGATGGAAAGTAGAGCCGGTTGAAGTATTCATTGTGAATTTAGCCATTTCTCCTGTTAGTGAGTTTATCACAAAACAAACCTGATTGCTCTGGGTTTAGTTTCCCTGAGTATTTGGCTTCTGCAAATGAACTTCAGCCTATGGAAGGTACATTTTGATTACTTGCTATTTGTGATAATTACTCAGCTAAGTAACATGAGGGTATTTCTGCTCCTTGATTGGAGGACTGAATCTTTAAAGCAGGAGAATGACAAATAGCAAATAACACACTTTTAAATGTGAATACTTAGAGAAATAATCATGCATGCTAAAATTAGTGACACATTCACGATTTGTTTCATGAATCCCCACAATCAAAAACCATCACAACCCCACAAAGAACAGCCAACTGAACGTGCTTCTGCTATTACCAAAAATATCTGCTGTTACTGATAATCACTACAAATCACTCTGTACTACGCCAGCAGCTTTCAGGCATAATTGCCCCTTGAAAAGAGGGGGTATTTTATTACATTTGTGTTGCATGTGACGTTCAGGTGAGTCCCCTGACTGCCCTCACATCTGAAGAAGTGGGCTGTAGCCTACGAAAGCTTATGCTGACATAAATGTGTTAGTCTCTAAGGTGCCACAAGTACTCCTGTTCTTTTTGCGGGTACAGAGTAACACGGCTGCTACTTTGAAACAGATAAGAGGGTTTTTCATAAATGTCGTCATCTATCAGCAAAATTTCAAGTGCAACATCAGCAGGATCTCTGTCTCACAGGTGTGCTGGTCTTGCACTTTGGTCACTCACACCTGTACAAAGCGTAAAGCACTGCCAGTTCAGAACACTTACTCCATACAGGTGTAAACACCTCCGCCTTCTCTCTGTCGGGCATGGGAGAATCAGGCCCTTACAAGCAGCCTGGCCTGGGAAGGCTGGAGAGCAGATGACAAAAACAAATCAGGCTTGTCAAAGCACAAAAGTTTAAAATTGGTCCTTAATGAAGCTAAAATGATTATTATTTACTTGGACCCCCAGTCATGGAGCAGGACCCTATTGTGCTAGGGGCTGTACAGACACAGAACTAAAAGCTCACAATCTACAAATAAGATGAGACAACAGATGGAGACAGACAGATGGGGAGTACAAGGAAACAATGAGACAATATGGTCAGTGTGATAGGCTGTGATCTCCACACACCAGCAGCCTAAACGTTGTCAATATTTTTGTAGGCTTCATGGCAAAAGAGTTTTAAGGAGGATAATGAGGTATTTTGTGGCTGTTTAGAGGGAGCTCCTCCCAAGCAAAAGGGGCTGCATGGGAGAAAGCACAAAGGTGCTTCTTTGAAAACTTAACAAGTGGAGATAGAGGCTGACATCACAGGCCAATCAGAGGCAGGAGTTAACCTTTTAATACTGAATGAGAGGTGATAGGTAGAGTAGGGATAGGTCATGAAGGGCCTTGGAAGTGAAGGTTCATGTGTCCACACAGGGATTTGCACCAGTTTAACTAAATTGAATGAAAAAACGGTTTGTTAAACCAGGGCAACTTTCTTGCCACTGGTTGAGAGGCACTGGTCTGTGGGACCACTGAAATGTCCCTGATTTGTTCTTGGGCAGGCCCATTGGGATGCATCTCATTTACATTACTCTAGCACTGTAAAGGGATTGGAAAACAACTGTCTCTCCACTGAGTGAGTGTGAAGGAGATTCCTCAGGACAGCTCTGCCCGGCTTTTGCCACTGTATTGCTATGCCCTGCAGTCCCTAGCAGGGAAAGGGGTATATTGGCTAGAGTTGCTGATTGAGTTTATAGGCTTGAATAGTGGCCAAGATCCCACCTGAAACTTCAATTCCGGATTTTTAGGAGGCGAATTGTGTCCCCTGGTCTCATATATTTCCCTACACCAAGTCCATGGAGTTGGAATTTGGCGGGGGGAAATTTCAATCTTAGCGCATTTAGGGCCTGATCTGAAGTCGATGAGTCTTGTGTTTGACTTCACTGGCGCTTTGGATCAGGCCCTTAGTGTTCAGACATGTGAGCTGTCAGCAACTCTCACAGGCAACTGCTGGAGCAAAATCTCTTCTTCACACTTTGGTGTTTGGTTTTTCTTTCCAGTGCAGGATGGGAGAGAATCTTCAGTATGGCAGAGAACAGAGCTGTCTTCAATCTTTAGTACTAATCAAAGGCTCTTGTGGGAGGAGATAGGGAGGGGGAGGCGGGCATGTTTCACTGGGACTTTGAGCCATTCTCATCCCTCGCATAACAATTGTCCATCAAAGCCCACTCTGCTTGCCTGCCCACCCAATCCAGTTGCATGCATAAATATGGCAGCGGAAAGAGAACAAGGAAATATTAGGGAACATGTGTTATAAAATGTAAAGTCCTGTTGATTTATCACCTGCATGGAGAGAAGACTTCACTCGAGGGTAATTTTTTTTTTCCCCAATGGTCAGAGTTGCATGTGCCTGGACCTAGAACATTTAGCCAGATGAGTTGCTTCTAAACCTTTTCTAGCGTGTGTGTTTGTGTTTTCTTAGTGTTGTTTCAGGCAGTGTGGAAAAATA